TGATGCAAGTAGGTGACAGAGGAGAATCATTTGAATTTGTTTCATTTATACTTTACGTCTTTACAAATCCACAAACCCCCCTCCCCCCTCCTCCTCCTTTTCATATTATAACTTTCAGCATATTTTGTCCTGACTAATTTGTTTCAGGTCAATGTTTTGACACATACTACTGAAGTGACCCTTACTCCTGAGCAACTTGCTACTATAGAAAAGTTGAAGAAAGAGCATATGGAGCAAGACCAAAGAGAACTTTTTGGAGATTGTCAGACTCAGGATGACTCTGTTGGCTTCATAAATATAGTAGCCACTCTATGAATCTAGGGATAAACCATCACATGCAAATAGTGATCAATATGCAGCTAGTCAAACTTGCTTTTCCCATTTTCCAACTTGCTTCACATGGCTTTTGTTCCCTCCTTTATGACAAAGGCTGACATTAACCAACATTCCCTTCCCTTGATAGCTTGCCCACATGCTACATGTCTTCCTTTGCTTTCGGCATATGCATGAGAAAGGAAAGAAACAATCTCTTCCTTTCTCCAAGTGGACGACATGCAACACAACAGAGATAGTAAACAACATAATATTTGAGCCAATATTCAACACCATCCATATGGGTCTCAGCTCTTTGGAGAAGTAAAAGGTATGCTTTGATTGTTGTTTTTGGTATTTTGAAGGGTCAGAGTGTTGGGAATGGTTCTGGGTCTGATTATGTTGGAGGTAATAATTTGGTGATGGACCTAAACCCGAGTCCGTATTCAATCGGGCCTCCAGATCCGAGGTCTGAATTTGGGGCTGTGTATGAGACCTCGAAAGAGGACTCCTTCAATGTCAAATTTCAACCCTTCTTCCGGTGGCCAAATGGTGGGGGAGAAGTGCAGCTTCCTTGGGCTACCGCAATGAGGATTTGGTAGAACACGCAAAAAGTTTAATCTAAGATATTTATATAAAAAAAAAAAAAGCAAAAGCGGATGCAAAATAGGAAAAGTGATGATGTATAATATAATTTGCAACAACACTATTTATTTCTACAATGTTGTAATTCATAATACGCATCAATATAGGATAATATATCACAAATAATTATTAAACGGACTAAACTAAGAATTCGTCGCAAGACTCGTGAAGCCCTGTTGCAGAAGCTTGTAGAGAGGAATGTTCACGTTTCAATAAAATGCGTTATAACAATGTCATAACATAACATGAATTCAAAAGATTTGACATCATAATTGAAAACAGCATTATAGTCTCCATAATTCAAAACAACATTAGCCTATCATACTTCAAAACATTAGTCATCATAATTCAAAACAACATCATGATAAAGATGACTGACTGATATATCAAGTGGAGCCTGAGCTCATTTTCTCCATGAACTCCTCAAATATTTTTTGCTTCTCCTTCATTACTTTGATAAGTTCATAGTAGAAAACCACTTCCCCTTTCCATAGAAGGATTATACATCAAACAGAGTTTTGTAACCCCTGAAACTTTTGGGTAGTGGACTTCTCACCTACGTTTGATATGATAAAAGATATACCTCAAAGTACGGGTAATATAAAATATATACACTTCACAATTCATAGGTTAATCTCATAAATAGCAATCACATTTCTTACTTTGTTAATTTGATCAACATTTCTATAGGTTTTAATATAACAAAATTGATATATATATAATGGGCGTATTAGAAAACGAAAATGAAATCCTTTCACAAGATAGCTAGGGTTTCAACAGTGCAAAACATATTGCTGCTAACAAGTAGAGAGAGAGAGAGAGAACCATATATTCTAGTTGAAATTTGAGCTAAAAGTAAGATGAATCTCAAGGTTTGATTCATTTTTCAGACTAACTAATCTTGATTTGGAGACAACTAGAAAGAGCATATCAAGATGTTGAAAGCACATTCTACTACACTTGGGAAAGACAAGATTTTGAAAAAGGAGATAGTCAAGACCAGAGTTAGGTTTCCTAGCTTTCATCAAGTTCCAATGACATATATACACGAGAAAAGAAAGACTTTTAGATTCCATTGGGATCAGGGGCATTTCTAAATTTGAGGTACCTCCCTCATTCTAATTATAATATTATACTCCAAAATATGAGACAATATTGCAGTCATTATTAACTTCTTCCACATCCATTTTGCTTAGATAGTTTTCAGAAGGAAAAGGAAAATAAAGATAGAAAACAAGGAATTTATCAGCTGGAGATGGCACATTCAGTGTGAGTAGAGAATTGTGCTAGCTAGGTGCAGCTAGTTGCACCTATTAAATCTTCGACCGTTAAATTCCTATTTGATCTCATTGTTTAAGCAATTCTATTAGAGAGAGAGAGAGAGAGAGAGAGAGAGAGAGAATTTTCTCTAGTCTAGTAGTTAGCCCTGGCCATTAGATTTGTCCAGTAGGTGATCATATCAAATTAAACAATAGAATATAATTGCACCTCACAAGATAGTTAATTTTTGAAATGCAACAAACTAGGTTTATATATGAAGGGGTATTGACAAAGCAAACTGCTAGGTCAAAAATCTAGGTCTACATTAAGTCCAATAAACAAAGAAAGCTAGCTCAATCAGGATATCATGAGATCTATCCAGTCCTGTCAGAGACTCAGAGAAATGAAACTATTATTCTTCTACTAACATAAAAAATTACACTAGCTTAAACATATATAATAGGTTCCACCTGTATTAACATTTCTAGGGTTCAATATAATCCCCAGCTTAACTATCAGCAACAAAATTTAAAGCGCATATTGTTTCTAATTATGCAGAGCTGAAATTCCAAACTGAATAACTAATGATATATACAATTAATGGTTGCACCAATATACTCATCGATGGGCCGTCACCTCATGAATGCTGGTGAATGTAGTTGAAAACCACTGATTGAAGCTCATCAGCATCCTGAAAACCCCATTGCCTGTTGTAATTTGTTTGCATGCCAAAAGAAGACATGGAATGAGAAGTGCCCTCTTCGAAGCTGCCATATGAGACATTTTCTTCTGGGATATTCACTGATTTTTCATAACTCCCATTAACAGAGTTATTTGAATTCATAATTCCATTCTCATAGTATGATGTAGTTCCAGGATTATTGATGTGGGTTGAATTGAATTGTGGCATGGAGTTGGATGAATTTTCTAACTCATGAAACCAACTTTGAGCTTCCTCTAGATCTGTGTGAGAAGGAAGTTTCCCATAAAATTTCTCATTAGGGTTTGCTACAGCAGAGCCATTGACAAAGCTTTGAGCTGCTTGATCCATGAGGAAAGCTAAGTGTGCTTGTAAGTTGACCACCTGAAAAGTTCAAACCAAAAGCATATACTCATCAGTTACTTCAACATACAATCTGAACAGAAATCCAATCTGAACATACAAAGGGTACTAAATGATTAACCTGCTGTTCGAGAGCAAAAATATGTGAAACACAGCCATAAATGGGATCTTGAAGCCTGGCTTGAGCTTCGTATGATATCGTCATTGCGGCCTCGCATCGATCGCTCAACGGAAGGTCAGCTAAAAGCTTCGACACATTGCTTGCGCCAAAAAACCTATGGATGGCAGAAAAATGGGTAGCTGCCTCTTCATAGCAGAAATAAGGAGCAAAAATACACCCTCTCGCACATTTTCTTCTCAAGAACTTGCAGGCTCCACAGGGAGAACCAGAACCAGCCATGGTTTTGATGATCTTTTTTAATTGGGAGGGTTTTATGGTTTTTGTTGGTGATTTTTGCTCTGTCAGCGATATTTGTGCTCCGCATTATCACCACCATGCTGATAAACACGAGAGGAAGAGTGGAGTTGATTATAAAATAATATTAATGAATTGCATTAGGTCCCCTCAACGGGGAACATACTTCATTATTTTTAACTCAAAAACATAACCAAATCATAAGCTAGAAGGGTAAGAAATAATATACAATTATGAACCGATCAATGTCTTCACATCCCCCAATGATTCAGCCTTCGGCATCGGCCATCAGCCTTCGGCCTTCGGCATCAGCCATCAGCTTCAGCCATCAGCTTTAGCCATCTACTCCCATTCTCATGTTAGATTCCATTCTACATCCTTATACGACAAAAAGAGCTATACCACAAACCAACCCCATTCCTATCAATTTTAGCTTCATTCTTTGTATATGTTAGTAATGCATGCAGAGCCACATTAATTATCAAATCAAACCCATATTTAATTTTAAATCTCTCTGCAAAGCATCTAGTGTTCATAAATACTTGCACCAAATGTAGCATAATTAGCCCTAAATAAATAAATAAAAGATGGAATTGAATTGTAAAATTTGGATTGTGCTAGGGTTCCCGACAAAATTGCGGTCATTATACAAGCTCACTTCACTAACTATTTAATTAGATGGATAAGAGAATTGATTAAGTAATCAAAACCCAGGTTGGGGAACTGTTGTAGGCTTCCATATTTGTACATATGGAGTATTGCCTATGAAGTCAACAGGAGTATTAATGAGCTTTTGTACAATTTCCTCCCCAAGTACAGAGTGAAGTTTATCAATGTCCCACCAACCCTCCTTGAAGAAACTAGAAACAGGACAGTGTAGCTCAATTACTTGAGAATCTTCGATGTAGATCAGCACCATATAGAATACCTGTCTTTTGCGTTTTCTTTTATTTTTATTATTAGTTTGATAAAAACAACAAATAAAGCTCATCACATTCCATGTTGTCTCTAATATAATAAGCTAATAAAAAACAACATACTGGTATATCTCTTCTCCCACCGCACAGACATTCTTCTCTTTACCCTATTAACCTTCAGCTGTCTTCTTTGGCTTAACATCAATCAAGCCTCTGTTTTCGTTTCTCTGGCAATCGAAAACCTGTCATTAAAGTGATTTGGTCTTTGCCAAAAAAAAAAGGATACTTTGCATATTTCAAGTGATTGGGTATTTGTGTTATTATTATAATTTTAGTGTAAATAACAATTTTTTTGTTGTTAGGGTAATTTCAAATAGTAAAAGAACAAACAAATTGATAAGGTAGAAAATTAGAATTATTTGGTTTCTTTATTTTAAAATTAAAAAGTTGAATAAAAGAGAGTAAGATGACAAAGGCTGAGAGGAGACAGCCGTTAATATTCCTCGGGATTGCGATGCACGTGGTGATACTATGGCCCCAGAAATTAAAATTTCATGCATGATGTGTTTCAAAATGACAGGGTTGATATTTATGGAGGTTTACTTTCTCTCGGGACATGCAAGGTTGAGGGAATTAATTCTACATATTTTTATTCAGTTAATTACTATATATGAAGAGTTAATAAATTCATTAAGCTTAAGGGAATATTAAGGAATATAAAGATCTTCAATAATAAACACGACTATCGAGGCAAAACATGGAGTATTAAAAAAAAACTTATATGGAATGTATAATATATGCAGGGAAGGGAAGTTGAGAGAGTACTTGATTGATATATAGTTTTTTTCTTTTCTCAAGAATTTCAGATTTCTTTTCTCTTTTGTCAAGAATTTCAGATTTCTTTCAATGCTAGGAATATTAATACCTAAACCAGTAAATCAATACCAATTGGGTGGATTGACGGCTTTTGATGTGCTCCTAAGTGGTTTTTGAATTCAAATCCAATGATACTCGTGTGTAGTTTTTTACTCCTTCATAGATTTTGAAAAAAAAAAAGTAAATCAATAATTGTCTTTTCACCCCAACAAAAGGAACACAATAATTGTGAGTATAATAAATCTCATAATTACATGCATTTTATTAATTTATGATTTTTTTTTTTTTGGTAAACTGGAGGGGATAAACCCCGAAAACACAGCAACTAAAAGGGAACAGAACAAACTAATCTAGCTTTCGCTACACCAATAATATCATCAAGGATAAAGGAACCAATCCAAACAGGAGCTTCGTCAAAATAGAGGATGCCCAGATCTAAGTTGTAACTCCAATTTGCCAACTCGTTAGTCACACTATTTCCTTCTCTGTAGATATGAAGTAGATTGTAATTATCAAAATGCTTCAAGAGAGTACAGCAAGCATTAATCAGGGGCCAAGCCATCAATGTTTTTGACTAGGTGGACGACCACAGCAGCATCCATTTCAACATTAAGATGGGTTATACCTTTAACATCAATGTTTTTGCTTTCTTTGGATTTTATTTTTTTTTTTGGTCAACGCTTTCTTTGGATGGTATTATTGATTATTTTTGTTTTTGTTTTTTGTAAAAGGAGGGGCAAAGGCCCAGCAACAGAGAGACTACAAAAGGAGAAGACGTGGTCTGGAGGTGCCAGTGGCATCAGCAGCCACACTATCTCTTTTGTCAGATTTCTCTCGTGGAATTATTTCTTTCAGACCTGAGGGTCCCACGCCACATCACCACCAGCTAGATCATTAGCAAAACGATAAAATAAGACCCACCTAGCTCTGTTCCAAGTTCTGAAA